AATAGAATACTGTTGGGAGTTATACTGCAAATGTTTCAGCAATTTACTGGAATGAATGTCATCATGTAAGTGAGAGTATAATTTTAGAGAGAAAGAGAAATTTATATTTATTCTATCAAAAGAGAGGATCTAAAGAAAGACATGATTCATGTATTCTTACTCCTCCTTCTTTATTCAGGTATTACTCAACCTCAATATTCTGCAGTATAGACGTATCCAGTTATGCTGCTACAGCAATAGTGGGTGTGGTAAACTTCTTGACTACTCTCATTACTGTCTTTATCGTTGACAAGGTCAGTTGAATACAGTCTCCACCCATTTACATGGGTCCTTTAGGTTGGTCGTAAGTCCCTATTGCTAGTTGGGGCACTGGGTATGTGTGTATCTATACTGACAGCTGGTCTCCTCATTCATATCTTTAATGTTGTTGAGGAGAGAGAGGGAGGGGGAGGGAGTGAAGAGGAGAGACAGGTTGTTGGATATTTTGTGGCTCTCCTGATTGTACTCTTTGTGTCTTTCTTTGCATCTACCTGGGGGTGAGTTAGGGATAGTGTTCTCATTCCGTACTTAGTATGGAAATATGGGAATGGGATGTCATTTGTTGTTTTAAGTATTTTAGATAGATTGATAGAGTACTGTATAGCAGGTATATTTCAAAGATAACAAATTTCGCTGATTTCACAGATTTCTTAAGATTTGTGAAATTAAGTTCCTTGAAAATCAATTTAATACAGTATAATAGTGGAAATTTGTGAGAATTAATTCAGTGAACCTCCAGATACAGGAAGTGATTGTCTTGTCAGCAATAGTTTATTAATTAATGAAAATGCTATCATTATCAATGAGTACATTATGCAGTACATGTAACTATCACTAAAAGTACATGTACATGTACTTGTATCTGAAGTAGTAGGGGCAGTTCTAACAAGTAGATAGTTAAATAAACATTATGACAAACATAGCTGAAGGAGGGTCAGAGTCTTACAACAACCTTACAATAACACATCATTTGCAAAAATTATTATTCTTGAAATAAAACCAGTATACGGTAATTCATGGTGTTAGGTGGCAGTAAACAAAGCTTACTGCCATAAGTTTCAATCATGTATGTACAATAGTTTATATAGCAACATACAATGTATGAGACTGGTTACCGTTACTCTTCACTTGTGTCTAATGGTATCGTCTGCTGACATGATGAACAAACTCTTTCTCCTGCACATGATGTATTCATATTTCTCTTTATAGACCAGTTGTTTGGGTGGTGACTAGTGAAATATTCCCCCTCTCTGTTAGAGGTTAGCTGATATTGATCTGATACTGATGTTGATATTGATACTGATTTGATTTAATACACATGTTCCTTGTCATCTCTCTCTCTCTCTCTCTTCAGGTGTTGCTGTTTCAGTCACTACTTCTGGTAACTGGATTGGGAACTTTGTGGTTGCTATGGTAACCCCATTACTTCTCGGTTCTGTACTAAAGACGGCCGGTACATTCTACATACTGGCAGGGTTTCTCTTTGCCTCATTTTTATTTGTGTTGCTAACACTTCCTGAAACAAAAGGAGAGAGTTTAGAGAGAATTGATGAATTATTTCTAAGACCATGGCTACAGAGGATTAACCTATTCTACTACCTGAGGTACATGTACATGTATACATGTACCTGTAGGTTTAAAAGCTGACCAGGCCAACCTACAGTGGTGCCCTAGATACTATATAAACGCAGTAAGCACAGTCTTAATCAGAAATTAAACTGATTTTCACAGATTGTATTTTCGTCAATCGTAAAGGAATCTACAAAATTTGCAACCCTTAAAAACACTTATATGGTATGTACATGTAGGTCTGATGATTGAATTCCTGGATTACTTTGTGGTATTAAGGGGTGGTCCTTTCTTTACTTATGATTATTATGGGGTGCATTGGCTTTCTTGTAGTAATCAGTAGCGTAGGAAGCGGGGGTCAGGGAGGGCCCCTGCCCCCCCCCCTTATTTTTGAATTTACCTTTATTAATCAGTCTATTAAATAATTTATTAATAATAACTTCGTTTTAGCCCCCCCTTCTCCAAAATCTTCCTACGCTTCTGGTAATGTGTACTATTGCACACTAATTATTGCCTGTACTTAACCTTTATTCTTTGATAGGTGTTGTTGTCCATGGTCTAATGCCTGTAGGGTAAGGACTGCACAAGAAGAGGACACTGTAGCCATTGTTGGTATAAAGAATGAGAACAAAGATGATACGAGTGATGAGGCTGAAGATGAGTGAGTATTTAATCATATATACCCTCTCTTTCTCTTCCTCCTCCCTGACTTCCTCCCTTCTCTCTGTCTCTCCCCTCCCCTCTTTCTCCCTTTCTTCCCCTCTACCTCCTCATGCTCCTCCTTCCCTCTTTTAATTTCTTCCTCCTCCCTCCCTTTCTCTTTCTCAATCTTGATACTCTAATCATATACATGTACTGTACTTTCTCTCTTCTCTTTACAGTGAGAATGAGTCACTGATAAAAGATACAGATGTCCTTGAGTCTAGTCTTTCAGCTAAATTTGATAAATAACGGATCAAGCAACCTTTGTATCATTTTGTGTACTAATAGCATGAATTGTTTGATTTTTATGATGCAGACAGATTTTATTATTTTGCTATTATTTTTAAAAATTTATGCATGCAGCAGGTTGTACAATGTAACACATTAGATTTAATAGAAGTACTATAAATAATGTGGGCAAGACTTATAGATCTAATGGTAATAGCAAGGATACTGTGAATTTTAGATGCATATGTTTGCTCAGTCTTGCATGGGTAATAATAACGGGTGGTATTACTGCAAACTGAGATAATAGCAGTACGTAGCATATGTAGACTATAAGGTAAAAACTCAGTCTTAGTGCTAACATCACACAAGACATCTTGGTCTTGGAGTCCAAGCCTGAACTGCATGCATGGTGCAGTTCAGACCAATATCTATGCCTTCAGGCCGCAATGGAATGATATATTGTTGACCAGTAAACAAATGACGAACAAACCATACAATAAACAATACAGAGATAAAACTTATACAATATGGTATTCATACAAATAAGTCTAAGTATTATGATACAAGTGGCACTGAGTCACACAACACAGTTTTTGGATACTTTGCAATATCTCACCACAACCTAGTAAAACATACAATAACTACCTCAGTAAATTAATTTCACTAACCATTTCTTCTTTTTTGTAAAAGTAACTTGTTCCCACTTCTTGCTCAGGCTCCACCAAAAACTTGCAATGATTGTCTTCATCATTCTTATACCAGATGATTCTATTACCAGCAATGATGGCTGCAGCTAGACCTGCTCCACTAGTTGTCTCTTGCAGTGGACCTCTACGAGGAAGAGCTTCCCGCGCTATCAAGTTAGCTATCGCTTCTCTGAGCCACATTATAAATAACAGCAAAAGTATCATGTCTCAACCATGCAATCAAGGCTTGCTTCCTGAAGAACTAGCAACACGCGGTGCTAGCCGCACTTTTGTGAATATCATTAGTCCAATTGAGGTAAAAAGCTGGGCGAGGCCAATTGTTTTTAATGATTTCACAGATAAAGACGCAGGCGCCAGCTAGCATAATCTGCATAAGCAACATTCAGTCATTCTGATCAT